GGTGTCTCTGAGACTACGGTTCTGAGCCCCCAGGCCCAGCACCTCATTGCCTTAAGATGGTTGGTAATATCTAAGAAGTTTTCATCGTTTTGTCCCGTGTATGCTGCACTATTTCCTTATGTGTGTTTGAAAAGGTAAATGCCCATGTACAGATTTCCTCTAACAAACCTTTATATATTTGTGAGTATACTTCCATTTTCCCTCCCATATGTGTTCACAACAAGTAACTATCACAGACCACTGCTGTTCCAGGGTTATTATTACCTCTGGTAGAATAGTGGTTACGAATTGGGCTGCGAACCTTCAGGTCAGCAGTTTGAAACTACCAGCTGCTCCGCGGGGGAAAGATGAGGCTTTCTGCTCCTGTAAAGATTTACAGCCTTGGAAACCCTGTACAGGGTTGTTATGGGTCGGAACCAACTCCATGGCACTTAACAGCAGCAGCATTCAGTTTTACCTGTATTCCCTTTAACCCTTTCGTTCCTCTCTGTGTCTTCACCTATCTTCATCATTCTTCTGCCAGCCTCTCTCTTTTTGTATATTGTTCTCCCCATCACCTGAGTTAACATGTGTTAACCCTCTAGCCAACACATTACTCTCTCTTCCCTCCCACCCCTGGTAACCATAAAAGAATATTTCTTTTAGAATGAAAGCATTTTCTTGAGTTTTTATAATAGTGGTCTCAGACAGTATTTGTCCTTTTGTGACTAATTTCACTCAGCGGAATATCCTCCAGGTTCATCCATGTTATTTGGTGTTTTGTAGATTCACAGTTATTCTTCCATTGTGTGTATGTACCAAAGCTTATTTATCCATTTAGGCTGTCTCCATCTTTTGCTCTTGTGAATAGTGCTGCGATGATTATGGATGTGCATATATCTACTTGTGCCCTGGTTCTTATTTCTTGTGGATGTATACCAAATAGAGGGATTGCTGGGTAGTATGGTATTTCTATTTTCAACTTTCTGAGGACATGCCATATCATTTTTCACAGTGTTTGTGCCATTTTATGGTCCTATCAGCAATGTAGAAGGGTCCCAGTCTCTCTACATCCCAACCAACATTGAACTACACCATTAATGCTGTGGTGAGTTGATAATCTAATTGTTTTGACTAGCATCTCTCGAATGGCTAATGATTGCAAACATTTCTTCACATGTTTCTTGGCTGCCTGAATATCTTCTTTGGTGAAGTGTCTTTCCATGTCCTCTGCCCATTTGTAAATTGGGTTGTTTGTCTTTTTCTTGTAGAAATATTGTAGTTTTATATAATTTTGGAGCTTAGTCCCTTGTGTGATATTTCATTGTAAATATTTATCCCCAAGTGTGTGGGCTCTCTTTTTACTCCTTTGGAAAAACCCTTTGATGCACATCAGTGTATAATTCTTAGGAGGTTCCAGTCATCTATTTTGTCTGTGTATTTTTAGTTATGTTTGACAGTGTACTTATGCCATGTGTGAGACCTCCTAAGTTTGGTGGATGGATCATTTCTAAGCATCTGTTTTGCTGCTACTTCACTGAAGTCAGGTACATTTTGACATGGCCCTGATAACGAACAGAAAGAAATGCAGTTGATCTCAATGACATGGTGTGTATACACATGAAATCAAAGCTTCATGTAATGAGAGGGTTGTTTGTTTTTTACTACATATAATAAAGATAAAACATAATATACTTTATTTCAAGTGTATATTTAATAGTCTTTTAAGTATAATAAATATCTCAAACTGTAAACATTTAGGAAATAATATAGTATATTTTTCTGTTTTATAAGTTCGTTTGTAAGAGCAGCGTTCTTGTGAATAATTTGTGCCATCATTTTATATCTTCTACTATATTCCCGGAGTTCTGGTGTGCCACTGTGGGCTAATGCGTCAAACTGCAAAGTTGTTTGAACTGCAAGACTGGTGGTTCAAGCTCACCAGCTGCTCCTTGGAAACCCTATACCTGGTCGCTATGGGTCGGAATCGACTCGACAGCACTTAACAACAACAACTATATTCTAGTTCACTTTGAAAAAAATGCTGAATGGGATCATTTAATTTAAGATGCATCAATAAATTATAGTATGTAGTTTGAAAATTACTACCCAGGAGAAGTGTATACTCTTGTGTATTTGGAGAAATATGTAAGAATATTCTTAGCACTATTGTTTGCATACCTCTGCCCTCTCCAAATGGGAAACAACTGAAAGGTGATAGATAACTATAACATGTTTTTATACTTGGATACTACTGTGTACCAGTGTGACTGGATAGGAGTTGCATCCAAAAGTATGGATGTATTTGGGAAGATAATGTTGAGTAAATATAGCAAGTCACAGATATGTGTGCTGTGATTTCATTTATATAAAGTTAAAAAAAAAAGCAAAGTTATATGTCTGTTAAGTTGGTATATGTGAATGTCTGAAAACATTAAGAAAAGAAAAAGAAACATGAGACTGAACATTTCCGGATGGTGGTGACTCCTGGTGTGATTATAGGAGATGAGGGAACATGCAGACGTCTTCAAAGATACTGCTAAATGGATGTAGACCTGTTTATGATATTCCTTTTCTTTATGCCTTACACAGTTATCACAAATTATTTTTGTATTTATTCATTGTTTAAAACTTTTACTTGAATCAAAATAAAATGAAACAATTAAAATCCATCCCATCTTTTTTCCAACTCCTAAAACTTCAACCTCAATTTTCACTTCATTCCTAGTATAAAATAAATGGAAATTTAAGGAGTGGGTAAGCATCAGTACAGGTCAGAGTTTTGTTCCTTATTTTCTCCTGCTCTATTTAGGACCTTCTAATATGACACCCTCGGAAACCCTGTACTGGGTCGCTATGGGTCGGAACCGACTCGATGGCACTTAACAACAACAAATATGACTTGACAGCACTTCACAACAACAATATGATTGATCCCCAGGAGTCCTGGTGTGGTGCTGTGGGTTCATGTGCCAGACTGCAAAGCTGTTCGTACAGCAAAGTTGATGGTTCAAGCTCACCAGCTGCTCCTTGGAAACCCTATACAGGGTTGCTGTGGGTCGGAGTCTACTTGACGGCATTTAACAACAACAACAACAACAACAACATGATCCCCTTCAGAGCAGTTGGTAGTGGGAGCCGGACACCATCCAGTTTGATTAGTCTCAGGGGGTGGGGACTGATGTTTGCATGATCCATTAGCCTATTGGGCTAATTGTTTCCATGTGTCTTTACTGTCAGAGGGGCAATATTAGCCCAGGGACAGAAGGGTTAGGAAAGAAGAAGGAATGAAAGCAGGAATAACTTGAAGGAAGTGGGATAAGTGATGTTATATTTACGGGATTGCAATCAGTGAAATAAAACAAAATATGTATGAATTGTTGAATATAAATCTGATGATCTGCCTTGTAAACTTTTACCCATTCACAATAAAAAGTTAAAAAAATAAAATAATAGGTCAGAGTTGAATAAAACAGTTTCTGCCTTTATGTGTCAGCTTTTTGGTTGACAGTCAGATGGAGCTTGTGTTGTTGACAGGGTTGAAATTGACTTGCAGGCTTGAAATTAGGTGTTTAATAAACTAGTTGCAGAATGATGGGTTGCTCCAACTTAAATTCTAGAAAAGAATGTAGATAGAATCAGGGCATGGATTTAGGTAGTAGGATGTGTGTTTGAGAAAGGACCTCTTGTGGCTCTGTGGGTCAGACGTTGAGCTTTTTAAACTTTAAATTCAATCGTTCCAACTCACCAACTACTCCATGGGAGAAAGATGAGGCTGTTTGATCGCCGAGAGTTACTCTCAGAAACTCTATATCAGGTTGTTGTGAGTCAGAGTTCAGTCAATGACAGTGTGTTTGGTTTTTGGTTTGGATGCTAGTTCTAGATTTTGTTGTTGTTAAGTGCCATTGAGTCAGTTCCGACTCACAGCGACCCTGAGTAGGGTTTCTGAGGAGCGACTGGTGAGTTTAAAGTGCTGACCTTGCGGTTCAAACCAACCTTGCAGTCTAGTGCATTATCCCATAGTGCCACACATAAGATAATTCAAGTGGAGATATTATATATAAAGTTGAAAATGTGAAATTGGTGATTGGGCAGAGTTAGTGTTAGATTTTGGACTCAGAAATCTTTAGAAAGAGCTCAGATTGTACAGTGGTTAAAGTGCTTGGTTTCTAACCCAAGGATGAGCAGTTTGAACCCATTGTAGTTCCACAAGAGGAAAATGTGGGAGTCTGTTTCTGTAAAGATCTACAGTCTTGGAAACCCTGTGGGAGAGTTCTGTCCTGTCCCATAGATCACTGTGAATCAGAATCGATTCAACGGCCACTGGGTTTGTTTGTCTTTTAGAAAGATGTAATACTAGAAGCAAAGGGAGGGAGTAAAGTTTTGGAGGGGAAAAAAGAGAGAGAGACAGACAGGAAGGGAAGCTCAGAATTGAAACCTGGGTGTATACACCAATTAGGGATCTCTGGCAATCAGGAAGAATACTTAGTTAAAATTTATCCTGATTGTTTTGTTTACAGAGCAGAATGATTTTAGTACCCAAACAGATTTTCATTTTTAAATTGCTTTGTGCTTTCACAAAGTGTAATTGTTTTATTTTAAAAGAAAATAACTTTTTTCAAGAC